CCCACGGGAAGGAGGGGCGGAATCGCCTGACTTGAGACACCTTCATCCGCAGATCCGGAATTTATTCCGCAGCGGCGCAGGAAGACGTGGCTGAGACACCCACTACGCCCGTCCGCGGTCTAATCCTGCCTTCCCTCGTGTTGCAGGTGATCTCCCTCGATCTCCGCTCGAAGCTGCCGGAGGGGAAGAAGCTGAACGGCCACGAGGCGGAAGGCAGGAGCGAGGAGGAGGAGGAGGAGGAGCTCCGCTACACCCATATGCTCAACAGGGTGCTCCCACCCGACATCCGGGCGCTGGCCTGGGCCCCCGTGGAGCCTGGTTTCAGCGCCAGGTTCAGCTGCCTCCGCAGGACCTACCGCTACTTCTTCCCCTGCGCCGACCTGGACGTGGCCCTCATGCACGCCGCCGCCCAGAGGTACGTGGGCACCCACGACTTCCGGAACCTGTGTAAAATGGACGTGGCCAACGGGGTGGTCAACTTCCAGAGAACCATCCTCAGCGCCGGAGTGACGTGGGTGGAGAGAGGGGGAGAAACGGAGCGGCGGGATCCCTTCCGCCTGTGCCAGTTCGAAGTGACGGGACAGGCGTTCCTCTATCACCAAGTCCGCTGCATGATGGCCATCCTCTTCCTCATCGGGCAGAGGATGGAGAGGCCAGAGATCATCAACGAGCTGCTGGATGTGGAGAAGAACCCCCAGAAACCGCAGTACAGGTACGGAGAGCTCGGGAGAACCTCCCAGGCTGCTTCTCAAAGTGAGCCTCTCACAAGAGCGGCCTCTCTGGCAGGTATCCGTAGAGATCCTGTTTTTTCTTGCTTTCGGAGCAGCTCTAGTCCCTGGTATTTTGTTAAATTTAATTCAGTTTTTATCAGAAAAAGGAGTTCTGGAAAAGACAGGGCTGGTTTGGACACACAGGACAGACCGATGCGCTAGTGCACAGCCCTTTTTGTCACTGCATCCCTACGGAAAGCAGTGGATAACACCCTCTCTCCTTCTCCCAGCATGGCAGTGGAGTTTCCCCTCGTCCTGTACGACTGCGAGTTCGAGAACCTTGAGTGGCTCTACGACCGAGAAGTGCAGGAGTTCAACGTGACCCACCTGCAGCAGCTCTGGGCCAACCACGCCGTCAAAACTCATGTGCTACGTGACATGTTACAAGGATTAGATGCTGCTCCCGTGGCTACTGGGAAAAGTAAGGGATGGTTTTGTGGCAGTACCTTAGATTGTGTCCAACGCAAGGACATGGAGCTGTTGGAGCGGGTCCAGAGGAGGCCACCAAGATGATGTGAGGGCTGGAGCACCTCTGCTATGGAGACAGGCTGAGAGAGTTGGGGCTGTTCAGCCTGGAGAAGAGAAGGCTCCAGGGAGACCTTCCAGCACCTTAAGGGGCTACAAGAAAGCTGGAGAGGGGCTTTGGAAAAGGGCGTGGAGTGACAGGACAAGGGGTGATGGCTTTAAATGGAAGAGAGGAGATTTAGATTAGATCTAAGGGAGAAATTCTTCCCTCTGAGGGTGGTGAGGCACTGGCACAGGTTGCCCAGAGAAGTTGTGGCTACCCCATCCCTGGAAGTGTTCAAGGCCAGGCTGGATGGGTCTTTGGGCAACCTGGTGTAGT